ATTTATCAAAGTTTATCGGAAATGTTGACACTCTTTGTGGTCGACGATGGTGGTTATGGTGGAAATCCATCAAGTGTCGTAACGTCAAACTTTCCGATATATATATATATATATATATATATATATAATTGAGAAATTTTACCGGTTGTTCCATAGTGTTAGGTGATGGTTCCACGTTTGGGGTGGCGGCAAACAGTGGTCGGTGGCGGCACACAGTGGTTGGTGGCGGCAAACGGTGGAGGATGGCAGCGGAAGGTGGTGGATGGCGGCGGAAGGTGGTCGGTGGATAGCATAAAGAGATGAAAAAAAAATTAAGGCGTCAGCAAGGGACTTTTTTCGCTAAGAAAGCCTCTACTGGGCGGGCTACGGAAGGTGGTCGGTGGCGGCGGAAGGTGGTAGTTGGCGGCGAAAGGTGGTCGATGTCGTGAAACTGTGGTGGATGACGGTGGACGGTGAATGGTGGTCATCAGTGATCGGTGATCGATGGATAACCGTGAATGAAGAAGGAAAAAGCTCGGTTTTTCTAGAGGTGGATGTCGGTGGGGATGGTGATAATGGTCCTCCCGGCCGCCTATTTATATAAACCGATACGTAATAAAACAAAATACATCGTCAAATCATAGACACTAAAAGACGAAATAACAATCAAACTACGTAAATCATATATAATATCTGATTTTTGTCCCCCAAATCAGATAAAAATAATTTTTTCGTGTCCACAATTATTATAAAATATCAACATTCGGTGTTTATAAAAAATATATTTCTTATAAGAAAATATAAGAACATTCGTTGGTTAAATTTATGTGTTTCAGAAAAATTGGTTAAATTATTAAATGTTCACGTACTTTCATATTGTTTTAAAGGTTGTCACGGTAGATTGTATTTACGGGTTACAAGCTGTGAGAGTACAAATGTTTTATTTTATACAGTAAAACCATGACATTTAGTATTCAAACAGTTAAAAACCACTATAATTCGGCCCCTATTTATTAAAAACATCTTTTAATTGTCAAATCGATTAGACACTAAAATACGAAATAGCGGTCACCTACGTAAATCAGATATAATATCTTATTTTTGTCTCCCAAAGCAGATACAAATAATTTTTTTTTTGTATCCACAATTATCATGGTTTCATTTTATAAACTAAAACCATGACATTTGGTCCTAAAACAGTTAAAAAAACTCACTCTAAATCGTCCCCTATTTATTAAAAACACTTCTTAATTGTCAAATTGATTTAGACATTAAAAGACGAAATGATGGTCAAACTACGTAAATCAGATATAATATCTGATTTTTGTCCCCTAAATCAGATACAAATAATTTTTTCGTGTCCACAATTATCATGGTTTTATTTTATAAACCAAAACGATGACATTTGGTCCTAAAAAGGTAAAAAAAAAAAAAACAGTTTAAATATCGTCTCCTATTTATTAAAAACACCCCTTAATTGTCAAATCGATTTAGACACTAAAAGACGAAATAACGTCAAACTACATAAATCAGATATAATATCTGATTTTTGTCCCCACTCAGATACAAATAATTTTTTTCGTGTCCACAATTATCATGGTTTTATTTTATAAACTAAAACCATGACATTTGGTCCTAAAAAGGTAAAAGAAAAAAGTTTAAATATCATCTCATGTTTATTAAAAACACCCCTTAAATTAGATATACTAAAAGACAAAAAAGGGAAGAAAAAAAATGCATGGGGCGGTGGCGATCCGGTGAGGTGGGGATTGCCCCCGAGGGTAGATCTCAATTATCGAGACAAATAGTATTGGTTTCTCTAAAGTAGATACATGTGAGCCCCACCAAATTAAATTTTTTATAATTTTTTGTACTATTTGGTCAAAATGCATGGGCTGGGCTGGGCCGATCCTTGTGGGCATTTTGGCAATTTTGGTAAAACTTGGCTATTTTATTAATACATCAGGTATATTATGGTCGTTTTAGTGATTTTTTCTATATGAAATTCGTTACATTTGACAAGAGATGTAGTTCAATTCATTTACTTTTGTCAACAAATGATGAAATCATTAATCTATAATAACCAAAGGAATTTAAAGAATTCCACCATTTCAAAAAATGTAATTTAGTCAATAGAAATTCACCATTCCAATTTCCTTAAAACTACATGGATTCAAAAAAACGAACAACAACAAAGATCGTATAATTTACTCCAAAAAAAAAACCCTACGAAATTTTGATCTCAAATATTTAAATATTTATTTTATCTAATGAAATGTAAATAAAGATTAGGATCCAATTTTACTCAATATTTTTATTTTCATTAAGCTAAAACTATGGTTATTATATAAAAAAAAAAGAGTTATGATGAGAATCGTAAGAAAACAACAGCTATAATCTCAAATTCACTCATGAATCATGCTTGATACGGGGATTGATCATCTTAATATGCATTTAAGAATAGAGACATTTTCATAACCCAACCCATAACCCATAAGTCTTAATGGATAAGCTAAAAAAAAAAAAATGAGTAGATGTTATCATGTCTTGTTGCTCAATCATTAAATGACAAGAAATTGATTGAAAGTGATGACATTTATATCTAAATGAGAATACAATCTGTGATGCAACATTCAGCATACGTCATCACATATATTCATCCCTTCATCATATGAAATCAAACAGTTTCACCAAGGGAGATTAATTACGAATGAAATAGAATTTATACGTTTTTTAAGGCCATATTTAATACAACCTTGAAAAACCATTATAAATAATGAGTCCATTGAACATTAGAAAAATTATCTGCAATCACATACTGAAAAACCATTATAAATGATTTCATGTACTTTTGAGAAAATGATAATGTTTTTATTTTTTAATGAAATATAAATTTGAAAAAAATAAATCGATATTAGTATCAAATTAACTATTTAATAATTCTCCTTTTTTTTGGTGTAACTTCTTTAATTTAATTTTTTATTATACTTTAATTTAGATTTAATAACAAAGTAATTTATATTTGAATTTAATAATACAATTTTTTATATTTGAAATGAATGTTTATCCTGTATTTGATTATGTTTATCTGCAGTTAGTTACACGAATATAAAAATAAAGTTTTAATAAGTTGTACTTATACAAAATTACTTGTAATCTTAAATTTTAAGTAATATGCATCAATAAACAGTACTTCATACATAAAAAATAGTTTTAAGAGTTTTTATCAAATGTTTTATAATATAGTATAGATGAAAAAAAAATCATCTATGGATTGACCGAGTTGAAAAAATGTCTTTCGTTATTCAAAAGATGAAAAATGGCATTATAATAAAGATCTAGGATCTAAAAATTGGCATTGTAAAAACATTGATTTATATATTTTTGGATTGGTATGCAACGATATTTTAATATAATAACATTATCTACAAAATGTTAAAATATAATATAAAAAATATATTGATGATAAAATAATTAAAAAAGAAAATAAAATAAAATAAAAAAGTTGAATTCATGGTAAAAGAGGAGCATGTGCTGTAGCTAAGAGTTGGCCTTTTTTGGTTGTGTGACTTGTCATCATAAATTGATAATTGAATTTGAGTAAAAAGAGATAAGACTGATGGCTTATAATAATATATGTATTTAAGTACATTTACAAATATCAAATAATTTTATGGATAAGTCTTCATTTCTAAGTTAATAATATCTCCTTCTGGTAGTTGTGACATCATTACTTCTTATGATAATATTCCCACATCATTAATGAAGCTTTTTGTTGGCCTTCTTATATAAATTAAGAAATAGGTATAAAAAAAAGGAAAATTTATAAAACTAACCGGTTTACACAATCTTTTGCCACAAAATAACTATATTTTAGAGTTTTTACCGGAATAGGGGGCGATCCCCCCTTAAGTCTTAAAAAAAAAAAATTACCCTCAAAAGTCGAGATTATTGTTCATTCCTCGTTGACCGTGCTTTGACCTCGCCTCCGGGGGCGATCCGTACTATATGGGGGGCGATCCCTTTTTCTAAGTAAAAAAAAATTGAAATTTTATTTTCTTGGACACGGTGTACTAGATGGGGGAGATCCATGTGTACGGATCGCCCCGAGGGTGATCCGGGTTAAAAAAAATTGATTTTTTTTCTAATACCAATTTCACTATAAATACCAACCTCCTACTTCATAATTTTTCAAACATTCCCTTCCATTTCTCTTCTCATATATTTTACTCTCACAACCCTTAACCCATTAAACACAATAAAGCATCACAACTTATAACCCACTAAACACAATCAACCATCACAAAACATAAAATCACGTCAAAGTGATAATGTTTGTGTGTATCTTCGAAGTGGCGGTTTATTCCAAGATATAAATGGTGTTTTAGAGTMCCTTCCGATAACCTCCCCCACATGTGCAATACGTTTGTCTTCGCCAATAACGTATTCTGGGATTGTCAAACGTGTGACGAAAAAGTTAAGTTTACGTGGT